TCTCTCTCTCTCTCTCTCTTTCTCGTCGTTGACAATGAATCGATCCTGTTCGGTTGATTGAATAGAGGCTAATTTAAATTGTACCTCGAGAGCAACAGATAATTCGACGTAAAGCGTGCCTTCCAATTGCCTTGAAACTGGCTCATTAGTTCAGGCTTGTTCGATTACTCACATTTGGGTAATAGAGAATAACCGCTAGTTAATTAATTATGGAACTAAAGCCTCGGGGGGGGGGGTCATCGGCGCCTGTGCGAATTAGTAGTATGAAACGAAGAGCATCGCGAGTAAAGTGACACTTAAATCCGAATGCATTTGATAATTCATGAACTGTGGACGAGCTAATAAACCGTGGAATTTCTATTGCCGATACTTATGAGGGTATTTTGAATTTACAAGTAAACCGTTCATTGTGTTTATAACCATGGAACACAGATCACGTTGAAATTCTTCGCTTGATTTCATTCGATATTCTCGGAGCATCGACAGATGCAAATATACGTCTAGACCGTAGAGACCTTAGAGAGTCAAAGCTCTCTTCCTTTATTACCTCCAAGTCACGAGTGTTTTGCTCGCTAATTACGAGATATATGTGAGACACGTGTACAAATCGAACTGAGTGTGAACAGTTCGCAAATTCGTCGAAAATTCGAATATTCCTGCTTGCAATCCAATTACATGCATATTCTCGTTTGCTCGAAGAAGTCGCTAAGGCTCGAGCCTTTCTCCTATAAAGTTCGCGTCGATCGACCTTGTACTCGGGAACGTCACATGCGTTTTCACTTCGTTCGAAACTCGCGTATGTCCCCGCGTATGGATTATGTAAATCTCTCGTGTTTCTCGATACTTCGCGGTACTTGTGTACTCGCAGCTATTATCTGTATTGTATTTCTCCGGGATTATCCACGAATTTAATCTCACGTTGTCCGGCTATCGTTATCGGCAACGCTCAGTCAACGTTACGCTTTCGATACGACATACAACTGATGTAAACAGTCTGAAGAGTGTTCGATCACTCCGATTGTCTTGTTTCGAACTACAGTATTTCTGTCTGGCAACAATAGGATAATTATTATTTCTGATCGCTTGCAGAAAATCAAATCAATCGATGCTTTATTTAGATATATATAAATTTTATGCAACTGAGTAGTAATAAAAAGTGATTCATTCGACACGTTTCTGAATGATTTACAGAATCATTGACAAGTATGTATAAACGATAGTAGGAGAAAAAGAGAAAGGAAAAGAGTATAAACACGATATTTTCATGTTTCATGCAAGTAGTAATTATCGAGTCCCGTTGATCGTGTGATAACAATGATAGAACATTGCGTTTACGATCGTATATAATAGTAACTTCAGGTCACACATACACATCGATCCTCCTACGCGGTGCTTGTAAATAATGGAAACACACTCGTGTGAGTTATTCACAAAGTATAGGCTCTTCACAGTCGATTTACACGGCCTGCCGACAATTCCTAACGAATGAAATCTACTGATCTTTTAGTTTCGACGACCCTCGCCGATTATGAATTCTGCATACAA